GAAAAGTTGCAATGGCATTAAACTATGTTTTCAGTGGAATAAGGATTGAAGGGAACAACTTTTTCACGTATGATCCAAGAGGTTCATGTAAGTTCATGTGCCAGCTAAAGTTACCTCACATACCACTGATGATGTGGGTCTCATCCATTAGAAAATATCAGACCAGGGGCAAGTGCAAAGCATTCTTAGATAAGAAGCAGGCAGAGGTCGTCACCCAAGCCTCTGTATAAGAGATCAGACAGAGGACTGTGAAATGATCACCTAACACACAGGAACAATGGGGGGAAATACTAACCCAAGCGGCTTTGACCCCAACCTCCTGCTGCTTAGCTTAGCCAATTCCAATTCATTGCACCAATTGAAGGTCCAATTTAACAAAAAGATGTTTAATTCTCTGGGTCAAAGATGCCTTGGAAATCCAAACAAGGGATTGCTCATCAATATAACAATATCCATGGTAACCGCAGACCATCTGCAGCACCCTCCACTGTGGGCCTCCTCTGATGGTGGGTCCATTTCCTCCCCAGGGGAGCCCTCTTTATTTCTGACTGTTGTTAGGAAAGAAGTGACCATAAACATTCTTCTGGGTCCTTCAGTCTCAAGTTCAGCATAAGGGCATCATAAGCATACTCTACAGGAAGGGATGAGTAACTGTCATCGGTGACATCACCCCCATATTTCAGTTCCATTCAACAAACACCAATGCCAGGCCAGTCCCACCTACATCCTGGAAGGACAGACATCTATTGGACATAGTGAAGGAGCCGTCTCCTGCTGAGGATTCATGATCTGAAAGTCATCTAAATAGTTCTGAACCTGTATTGATATTTAAGCCTCTGAAAAGACAGGAGAGCAAAATCAGTCGGGTCTGGGATGGAATCCTGGCTCTGCCATTTTGCAGAGAGTTGACGCTGGCCAAGTTGTTTAACCTCTCTGAGCTTCAGTCCCTTCCTCTTCGAAATGGGGCTAATCACGGTATCAACTGCACAGGATCGAATGATATAAAGTAAGTATGGAAAGCATGTAGCATCAGCCACAGGATAGTGTTCCCTAAACAGTATCCATGGTTACAATTTTGGGGAGAATGACACCCAACCATTTGGTTGTTCCAACCCTGACCGATCATCAGAATCATCAGGGGGAACTTGTTAAAAATAGAAATTCTCAGACTTCCATACCCTTGAACAATTCTAAATAGAATAGGTCTGGGACTAGACTCAGGAATCTATGCCTCCATTATGCGCTTTCATTGTGCCTAGCCCACAGAGGGCAGTCAACAGAGATAAGCCCCTTCCCCAGCCTGGCTATAGCAATAGCTTCCTAACCAGTTGCCTGTGTCCACGATTACCCCCGTGTCCTTGCAAGGAGCCAGTGGGATCCTTTTAAAAGGTGGGATCATGTCATATCACTGCCCCGGACCTTCAACAATTCTCCATCTCATGCAGAATAAAATCCATAGGCAAGGCCCTATATCAGTGGTCTCTGAAGCTAAGCACACATCAGAAATACCTAGTGAGGTTGTGAACAATGCCTATGCCTGACCAGACCCCAGACCGACAGAATCAGAATCTCTGGGGGTCGGGCTCAAGTAGAATTGTCAGAAAAAATATAGGATACATTTCAGTTACATTTCAGATACACAATGAATTTTTTTTTAATTTATTTATCTTGAGAGAGAGAAAGCACCAGCAGGGCAGGGGCAGAGAGAGGAGGAGAGAAAGAGAATCCCAAGCAGGCTCCACACTGTCAGCACAGAGCCTGACGCTGGGTGAGGGCTCAGTCCCACAAACCGTGAGATCATGAACTGAGCTGAAATCAAGAGTCGGACGCCTAACCAGCTGAGCCACCCAGGCGCCCCTGAATAATTCTTTAATAGAAGTATGGTTTGGGTAACAGTGGGACATACTCACACTAAAAAGTATTTATTTGTTGTGTACCTGAAATTCATATGTAACTGGGTTGTCCTATATTTCTATTTGCTCTAATCTGGTGACCTCAGCATCAGCTTTTTACAAAGCTCACGGTGATATATGGCCCTCACTGCCTCCCTACTTTCGTCTGTTCCCCCACGCCCCGCCCTCCCCCCCCCCCCCCCCAAGCTCTCTCCTCTGGCCTTTTCCTTGAAAGTGTCAAGCACATTCCCCCTTGAACACCTTTGCAGTTGCTGGCTTCCTCTCACTTCCAGTGTCCCCAGCAAGCCTCCCTGACGACTGTGATAGCATCCCCTCCGTCAGTGCCCTTCACCCTGCTTCCCTTTTTCTTGATAACACGGCTCCCTGGCAGATTATCTATTTGTTATTCCTGTCCGTCTCGCCTCTCCCCCATAAACTAGAATGCAAACGCCATGTCTTTGCTGGAAATCCTTCGGGTCTTTCCCTGGCTGTATCTGCAATGGCTAGAACCTCACCAACTTTCAGTAAATTCTGGTTGAAGTAGGTAGTGGGTATGAGAAGGCGTCTCCTTCCAGCACAACCCCCTAAACATTCCTTTGGGAGGAGCTGATAGAGGCCGTCTTAGTAGAAAAGATGTTTACCGAGAGTAATGGCTTATTTTTTCTGAGCGTGTCTTGCGTGCTACTGTTCAAAGCACTTTCCCTTTATTTTCTTATCAAATCCTTATCGATAAATAAAATCGATATTTTATTTTATATTTTTTTAAACTGAGTTGAATCCTCAGCAGCTTTTTTTTTTTAAGTTTATTTATTTTTGAGACAGAGAGAAACAGAGCATGAATGGGGGAGGGGCAGAGAGAGAGGGAGACACAGAATCGGAAGCAGGCTCCAGGCTCTGAGCCATCAGCCCAGAGCCCGACGCGGGGCTCGAACTCATGGACTGCGAGATCGTGACCTGACCTGAAGTCGGATGCTTAACCGACTGAGTCACCCAGGTGCCCCTAAAATCGATATTTTAAATAAAATATCGATTAAAAAAATCCTTTATTTTCTTATCGAATCTTACAACAATCCTTGTAGATTGTGGAGGCCATAATTATCCTCAGTTTACAGATGAGGAAAGTAAATTCTTCAGTGCACAACACCAAACCTCGACACTTTCAAAAGCCTATGCCAGAGGGGTAAACATCTTTTCTCCACCTTTCCTACCTGTAGCCTTGATTATGGGTTAGGTCCTGTGTGCTGTTGCGTGGGGGTGGCTGGGGTGAGAATGGTTAAGTGGGCATGGCTGTAACTGGATCCAGTGTCCAGAGTCAAGAGTGTTCAACAAAGGGTCTCTAAGCAAATTAGAGACCGGGCAAAACCACTGTGTGGAGTGGTGCCTGGTCCAGCATTGTTCCACACAATCTTGCTGGAAGGGGCCACCAGACGTTGAGCAAAGGGGGGGCTGCCTGAAGCTTTTCTGTTGGCGTCCGCTTCCATATGGTTACTACTATTCCATCTTGCACAAAACCCGCATGATCATGTATAAGCCCCTAAGCCCCTGAAGAGTGCACACCATTGACCCATTTGACCCTCACAAGAGCCCTGTAGGTAGGTAGAGCAGCTCTTCTTAATGATTACTGGCCAGTGGGGCAATGAGGAGCTGGAAGCATAGAGCATTCCACAAGGGGCATGAGTCAACGGCTCTGCCCTGGAAGCTGGTCTCTGACCCTGTCCAGTGCCTTTTCCATTCATGGTATTGAGCTGTCTTCACCAGGAGAAAGAGCTTTGTGGCAATTCTGGCTTTGGCTTTGGCTCCGGCACTTATTAGCTCTACAGCTTCTGCACAGCCTGGACCTGATCCTCAGTTTCCTGTCCTGTAGAATGGGTATGATGAGAATTCACAAGGTTGCCAGAGGAATAAAGAGCCATTCTTGCATTCATTAAATTCTGGACACCTACCAAGTGCCCAGCACAGTCCCCGAGGCTGGGCACACGGCAGAGGACAAGGTAGCCGAGACCCCCTACACTCAGAGTTTTTTTTTTTTAATTTTTTTCAACGTTTATTTATTTTTTGGGGGACAGAGAGAGACAGAGCATGAACGGGGGAGGGGCAGAGAGAGAGGGAGACACAGAATCGGAAACAGGCTCCAGGCTCCGAGCCATCAGCCCAGAGCCCGATGCGGGGCTCAAACTCACGGACCGCGAGATCGTGACCTGGCTGAAGTCGGACGCTCAACCGACTGCGCCACCCAGGCGCCCCAAGAGTTCTTAAGTTCTAGTGGGGATGATGACAGACAGATTGTCAAATAAACAAACAGGAAAATAAATTAATCCCATACAGTGGTAAGTACTACCATTAAAAGAGAACAGAAGCGGCACCTGGTGTGTGATTCTCTGTGCTCAGAACAGTACCTGGCACACAGTAGGTGCTCAGTAAATATTTGTTCAATGACTGAATGTGGCTGGTGGTCAGGGAAGACTCACAGAACCTCCCTGAGTGGAAAGCTAGAAACAGACGCAGGAAAAGGCAGGTCTCCGGGCAGAGCGCCAGGCACAGAAACCCCAAACGGAAAGACCCCGTGACTGGCCCAAACTTAGCGTTAGACAAACCGAAAGAAGAATCACACAGGCCATCGCTATGTCAGTACTCTGCAAATTTCAAAGTGCTGTGTACACATGCAGCAAGGTTGTTTCTGTGGCTGGCTCCTTGATGTCACACGCTTTACTTTTGAAAATGTCCATCCAAGTGCTTTCTGGCCCTCCACTCTGGGACCAAGCCCCAGGCTAGCAGTGTCCGCAAGGTGGAACCTCGAAGGGCCTTCTCTCTGGCCCTGAGGTCCTGCTGTTTCCTGGAAGGCCAACAGACCCACACACCGCGTTTCGCGCTCGGGTTGGCCCGTCACCTCCTGACGCCGGCACCCCTGTCGTGGAGTGGCGACCAAGAGAAAAGGGCTGGGACACTTAGGAGCCTGGGTCCCGGAACGCCGACTCACACACAAGCTCGGGAAGGTCTGCGCTGGCGGCGGCACCACTCGGGCAGGAAGGGCGGGGCCGAGCGGGAGGGGTGGGGCGGGGCCGAGCGGGAGGGGTGGGGCGGGGCCGAACGTGAAGGGGCGGGACTGCCGGGAGCTCGTTGCTGCGCCGGCCGCGGAATCGCCCGAGCAGGCGGGGCGGGGCCGAGCGGGCGGGGGGAACCGGAGGAGTCCTTGCCTTTGCCGCCGCTGCCGCCGCCGCCAGGTAAGTAGTACGGGTTCAAGTGGGCCGCGGGTGGAGCTCCCCCACCCCAGGGCCACTCCCCGCGGCTGCCCGCACGAGGGTTGCCTCTGCGTGGCCCGGCCGACCCGGCCCCGCGGGCCTTTGCCCCCCCCACCCCACTCTCCGCCCTCGTGGGCGCCAGGCCTCCCGAGGAGTGGCCTCACACTGCTCCCAGCATTGACTGCAGGTGTCCAGGCTGCCTAGTTGTTGCTTGGTTTCTTTCAGAAGGGAAAGTGCCTCTGGAAATTACGTAGGGCGACAGATGGGGAAACTGAGGCCGGGCAGAGCACTCAGGCCATTCCCTGCCTCCCTCCCGGCTCAGGGCTGTGAGCCCTTAAAGGTCGCCCAGCTCCTCCCTTGGCAAGTGAGGACGCTGCTCTGGTCCTGGGAGAGGAAGGAACTTGCCCAAGGTCACACAGGGTGGCGGGCTTTCCCTTGTCGCAAGTGGCCCCTCCACGAACCGGTGAAGAAGGCTTCCGGGCACCCCTGATGTCCTCTCTCCTTGCCCGTGCGGCTTTCTGAGCTCACAGCACACCTTCAGACTGAGAATTCCAAGGTGGGGCTGGGAATTCCTTCTGGAAAAAAGCCCCCAATTACAGATGGGCCATGTTTCTCACCCTGCCACCTGTTGACAGAGTAGGAAAGAAGGACTAGCACTACTAACTTTTGAGGGGATTTGACAGCTAGGTAAACAGGCTGCGAGAGATGACTTCCCCAAGACAGTACCCCTAGGGAGGAGAACGTTTTAAAACCTGGGTTACCTGTGCCGGGCACAGAGACAGAGTAGGCGTTCACCATGTCCTTTCTCTGGAGCCACAGCTGGGAGTACAGCGGGGCTGGACTCTGGGCCTTGACCTAAGACTAGTGCCTGAACACGAAGTAGGAGTGAACGTGTTAGTTCTCTTTTCCCTGACTCAGGGTTTATTTCACTGCAGAAAATATGAAACCCCGTTAAGCTTTAGGGCTATCCATTCATTCATTGGACAGATATTAATTGAGCACCGACTGTGTGCCAGTGTGTAATGTTTAGGCACTGAAAATACAGCAGCGAACAAGGCAAGTGCTGCCCTTGGGGAGTATACTACAAAGAATGGAATAAAATCCTGCTCTTGGGGAGTGGGGGGAGGGTTGGGGAGGGCTGAGCAGAGAGGAGAGACCATTGGAATCTTACCAACTGTGAAGTATGTGAAGAGGGCAGAGGGAGACTGAACCTCAGAGCCTCAAACCCTCGTGGGCATCTATCTAGATGCTCAGCCAGCCTGAGCGTTCTCCCCAACTCCCCAGGAATTTGGTAGGGGGTGGGAAGGTCGGTGGATAGAGAGTGGTCCAGCCAACCTCAGAGTCCATACACCTGGCATTGCCACTCTATAGCTGTGATGTGACCCCCCACCTCTGTGAGCCTGTCATTGTTATTCAGCAGGGGTCATAAAAGTGCATAGCGTTGATGATACCACGTCCGAATGCTTCTCAAATGGTAAAGCATGGTCCAAAGTGTGGCCTGTATCAGAGGCCTTGCCAAGTCAGGTGTAAGCAAAGGTGTATTTATTCAGAGGCTCCGGTGTCCCTGTTGGTAACCTGTTACTGCCCTCAGTAGAGAAATGTAAGAAAGAGGCAGAGGTGGGGGTGGCTGACTTCCAGGCGAGGAGGCTCGAGACACAGAATGTTTGCAACAGTCAGCGTTTCAGCCTTTACAACCCTTGCTGTCACATTCCACACACGGGGATTGAGCGCCTTCTCTGCCAGGCACTGTTGTAGGGAGCATCAGGGAAACGACACAAAAGCCACTGCCCGGTGGAACTTTTTCTGGAGAGACAGACCACAAACAAGTAAACCTGTAATCGATCCATTGTGCATTGGTGACAGATTTGATAAGGAAGTTACGCAGGGTCTGCTGGGAGGGAGGAGGGGTGGGGCCCCCTCTTTTGCTAAGGAGCCTGGGGGGAGAAGCACTGATGTCCTGAGCATTGTCCACTCTGACCCTGACCCTCCTAGGGGAGGAGACTGGCACTTAAGCAAGCAGCTGTTAGACCCTAAAGCAGGTGAGGGGCTGGCCAGATAAAGCCTGGGGGGCGGGGGGTGTCCAGAGGCAGCAGGCCCCAGTTCAGCTGCACAAATCCAGGGAGGCTCATGGCAATCCCTGAGCCCCTTTGATAAAGTAGAGAAGAATCTGGAGTTTGAAGTCACACAGGCCTGTGGGGGTGCATCCAGGCATCGCTATTTGCCAGATGTGTGGCCTTCACCTCTATTGGCCTCAGTTTTCTCATATGTAAAATGGGGACAATGATAGTTTCTTCCTCATAAGGAGGTTGTGAGGCTGAATTGGGCTCATGAGAATAAGCTGGCAGGAAATCTTCGCTGATTTTAGTATTAAACTGTACTTTTGAAAAAGGACATCTTTTGGACACCGAGAGATCGGCATGAGTTGAGGCCCGAGGTGGGCATCCCAGTGTGGGCTAGAAGCCGCAGATGATGCAGTTTGGCTAAGGCCTGGCTGGAAGAAGGGGACTGGAGGAAAATGAAGATGGAAAGACAGGTTAGGTCTGTCCCAGAAGTGCTTGGGCTGGCTGCAAAGCGGGGTGCTAGCCTGTGGCCAGATGGGAACTAGTGAGAGTCATCTAATTTGGTGGCTTTCAATTTGTGTTTGAAATCTTTTGGGCCACCTCAGGACATCAGCCAGACTAAAGAGAGTGGTGCAGCATCATAGCTGAGACGGCTACCTCTGGGCTAAGGCCCGGGTGCATTTAAATCCCACATTACTTGCCCGGTGACCTTAACCTTCACTTCTCATGGCCTCTCTGTCTCTCTCGTAGATTGGAGATACCTACCTTGTAGGGCTGGTTGGGAGGAAATGAAATGATGTGTGCAAGGGGATGGCACATGGCTAGCACCGTACCGAGAATTTACTGTTACAATTCTTTAAAATTTAATTGTGGGGGCACCTGGGTGGCTCAGTCGGTTAAGCGGCCGACTTCGGCTCAGGTCATGATCTCGCGGTCCGTGAGTTCGAGCCCCGCGTCGGGCTCTGTGCTGACTGCTCAGAGCCTGGAGCCTGTTTCAGATTCTGTGTCTCCCTCCCTCTCTCTCTGACCCTCTCCCATTCATGCTCTGTTTCTCTCTGTCTCAAAAATAAATAAGGTTAAAAAAAATTAAAAAAAATAAAAAATAAAATAAAATAAAATTTAATTGTGATAAAATAACATAAAACTTACCATCTTAACCACCTTTAAGCGTGCAGGTCAATAGTGTTAAGTATATGCACATAGTCGTGCAACCTATCTCCAGAACTTTTCCACTTGCAAATCTGAAACTCCGGATCCATTAAACACCTGTCTAGTTCCCCTTCCCCCAGTCCCTGGCCACCATTCTGCTTTCTGTCTCTATAATTTGGACTACTCTAGGTACCTCACATTAGTGAAGTCATGCAGTATTTGTCTTTCTGTGACTGGCTTATTTCACTTAGCATAATGGCCTCAAGGTTCATCCATGTTGTAATATGCCAGGATTTCCTTCCTTTTTGAAGGCCGAGTAATATTCCACGGGATCGATTCCTTTCTTACTGTTGTTCGTCCATTCATCCATTGACGGACTCTTGGGTTACATGCACCTTTTATTTAGCTGCTATGAACGTGGGTGTGCAGATGTCTCTGACACCTTGCTTTCATTTCTTTTGAGTGGAAAATACCCAAAGGTGGTATCGTGGATTATTTTACTGTTATAATTTGAAGGTGGGGCATTGAAGGTCCCCACCGTATCTCCCCTCGCCCACCGGACCAGGAGAAGTCCCTGGGGCCCTGTGGGGCCGTTTGAGAACCAGTGGATCGTGTGGATCATTACAAGCTTTGCCTCCCCACCCCCACCTCCTTCCTCGGCAAATGTGCCTCACGTTATATTCTAGTTACTCCCAAGCAGAGACCACCATTCATTCAACAAATGTTCGTAAGTGCCTACCGTGCTTACGTAAGGGCAGGAAGAGATAGACACTGAGCCGTAAGTGTAAACCAGAAAATGATCTATTAGGTCAGACGGTGATTCGTGCTGTGGACCAAGTGCAGGCGCCAGGTAAAGAGGATTGGGATGGAAGGCAGGGACAGGGTGGTCTCACCGAACCGTGAGATTTGAACAGAGACAGGAGGGAGGCGAGAGAGCTGGCCATGCGTTTGTCTGCAGGAACAGCATTCCGGGCAGAGGGAACAGGCAAGTGCAAAGGCCTTGAGATGAGAGCGTGCCTGGTGGGCTCCAGGAGCGGCAAGGAGGATGGTGTGGCCGGAGCAGAGCTAGTGACGGGAGAGGGGGCGGAGGGCAGAGAGGCCAGGGGCCAGGTTGCATATGGACCAGGCACCACTGGAAGAACTGTCGAGCATGGAAAGGGGATTAGTAGAGGTTTGGAGCAGAGAAGGGACATGAGCTGACTTCAGGGGGAGACGGAGCTCACTGGCCACTGCGTGGTGGACAGCCAGGGGGGAGAGCAGACGGAGCAGGAAACAGGTGGGGAGACTCCCGCTGGGATCCACCTGAGATGATCTCGGCTTGTACCTGGGTGCTAGTCGGGGAGGAATGGGGCGACCACAACGTGGACGAGATGTCATACAACCTGAGTATCTACCCCAGGGGCACGCTGTCACCCTACTCCACCACCTACTATCCTCCAGGCTGCTGAGGTGAGATGGGATAGGAACTTTCCCTCTGGACCAACATCTCTTTTTTCTTCCGGTCTGTAGTGGAATTGTCTGAAACCCTCTGGGTTCTTCTGTTGCCATGGAGACCTCCTGAGATGCTACATCTGCCACTGGCTTCCCATGTAAGTTCCAGATAGAGGTATAGAATGAATGGGTTTCTCTCCTAAAATGCTGGAGGGGATTGGGAGATGGGGAATGAACTGGAACTGTCTAGAATCCTCCCTTCTAGGATGATCCCAAGAGTGTGGGGGGGGGTATGGGTGTGTGTGGGCATGAGCTCAGAACTACCATCTTTAGAGTTTCTGGCCTAAAAACGGTGCTGTGTCTCTATTTGTTGTGAAGAATTTCTTCGGTCACATGCTTTTCTTCCTCCTTGGCTTCAACACAGTTCATTCCCCAGCCCTCCCGTAATATTGTAGTTATCCCACTAGTGATGCTTATTTTATTGTACTTCAGTCTCATTCATAAAAACTCAACTGTAACCAGTTAACCAGAAAAAGAAGGAAAGAGAGAGAAAGAGAACACTTTCCCCGCCCTCTCCACACACATACATTCACATCAAATTTGACCTTGGCGTTCACTGGCTGCTCCAAGGGGGGAAAAAAAGTACATGATGGGCTGGCTTGTAAGAAAAACACAAGAAATTCATCCTTGCGTGTGGTCTTCTAAAGAAAGGCTCAGGTCATGGAGTTTTAAGGGTGATTTAAAGGACATCCAAGGATAACATTGATCATACTGGTTTTCTCCTCGGTGCTGACTTTGGAGGTTTTCATCCCCCCCAAGGAGAAATCCCGCTGTGTTGTTCATGGCGTTAGTTAACGATTATCGGTTGAGTGCCTACTGTGGGTGCATGCAGAGCCGAGGACAGGTGTGGAGTGGCTCTCTGCCCTCACTACTGACAAAAATAGCTCAACCAGTTTTTGGTTTTGGTTTTGTTTTTTTTTTCGGTGGTAGGTAATGTAGCTGGCTAGATAAAACTCATAATCACAGACCATCATGACAAGGCCAGCTCTGGCATGCCTGTCCGTCCTGGGCCTGGGCTGTGCAGGCTAGCCATGGCTGAGTGTTCACCCCGTTCATTCTCACTATGTATATGTTCTTTCCCTGCCAGTTGGTCAAGTGCAGGTCAAGTGCAGGCCTTTCTCAGAGTTCTTGGTATCTCCACAGTACCTGGACTAGAAGCTACTCTGTCCATCGGTGACCTCCAAGGCCGTGGGTGCTGCTGGACCAGCTGTGTGCACACCAGGTGGCCCCAGGGCATGGAGTCACCACTGGCCCCGACCAGCAAGGTCTTTTTCTCACTGCAGGAATCCAGCTCTCCCTCTCGAAATCGGTTTAGCTTCTCAGACATACTTGGGCATCTCAGCTCAACTTGGACCGGAGCCTGATGCTAAATCAGACCAAGGGGGAGAGTCCCCTGTGAGGACCAGTGTATACAGTTCAAGGGTACATCTCCCAGCCCCACCACACTCCCTCAGTGAGCTGGGGAGCTGCCACCACACTCCCTCAGCTGGCATAGTTGGGGGACCCAACCCATGCAAGTGGACAGTCCGTAGGGTTGGGACCAGGGGCTCCTCCATCACAACAAACTGGGTAGGTGGGTCACACTACCCCCTGTCCATCTTGTTGATTACAAGACCTGTTTATTGGTCAACGGAATGGGACTTAACTGGGACCTCAGCCCCGTGGGCTTGGTGGGCCACATGAGGCCAGGGCTTTCTGGGGCAAGAGCAGCGTTGTTTTTAATTAAAAAATTTTTCGGGGGGCGCCTGGGTGGCTCAGTTGGTGAAGCCTCTGACCTCGGCTCAGGTCATGATCTCACCGCGTGTGAGTTTGAGCCCTGCATCGGGCTCTGTCTTGACAGCTCAGAGCCTGGAGCCTGCTTTGGATTCTCTCTCTCTCTCTCTCTCTCTCTCTCTCTCTCTCTCTCTGCCTCTCCTCCGCTCACACTCTCTCTCTGGCTCTCAAAAAAATGAATAAATGTAATAAATGTTAAAAAAAAAAATTTGCTTTTCTTTTCAGGGCTCCTGAGTGGCTCTGTTGGTTAAGCATCTAACTCTTGATTTCAGCTTAGGTTAAGATCTCACGGTCGTGAGATCGAGCCCCATGTCGGGCTCAGTCTCTCCCTCTCCCTCTGCCCCTCCCCAACTTGCATACACACTCTCTCGCTCTCTCTCAGAATAAATAAATAAACTTAAAAATACAAATATTGTTGGGGCGCCTGGGTGGCGCAGTCGGTTAAGCGTCCGACTTCAGCCAGGTCACGATCTCGCGGTCCGTGAGTTCGAGCCCCGCGTCGGGCTCTGGGCTGATGGCTCGGAGCCTGGAGCCTGTTTCTGATTCTGTGTCTCCCTCTCTCTCTGCCCCTCCCCCGTTCATGCTCTGTCTCTCTCTGTCCCAAAAATAAATAAACGTTGAAAAAAAAAATGAAAAAAAAAAATACAAATATTGTTTTCTTTATGAAAGCATCAATATGCTCAGGACAGAAAATGTCAAAAATACGGAAAAATAGAACAAAACCCAATAAGTTCTAGTCCCACAACCCTGCCACCAAGAGATAGTGACCTGACAGCAAGGAGCCTGACGTGGGGCTCGATCTCATGAAAGGCAAGAGCAGAAAACAAGAGCTGGATGCTTAACTGACTGAGCCACCCAGGCGCCCCTCCTAGTGATCTTTTTGTTCTGTGAAACTGTTTTAAAAAACATACCTGGAAGGTCGCGGGGGGTGGCCCAGTCGGTTAAGCAGCCAACTTTGGCTCGAGTCGTGATCTCATGATTCATGGGTTCAAGCCCTGCATCAGGCAGGCTCTGTGCTGACAGCTCAGAGCCTGGAGCCTGCTTGGGATTCTGGGTCTCCCTGTCTCTCTGCCCCTCCCCTGCTCGTGCTCGCTCTCTCTGTCTCTCTCTCTCTCTCTCTCTCTCTCTCTCTCTGTCTCTTCAAAAATTTTTAAAAAACAAAAAACACACCTGGAATCATTTTGTATATCCAGTGATATACTGTTAACCACCTCTTTGGAAAATAAAATCCATCATTTGTAGCATCTGCCAATTTCTGTAGTAGAAATACTCCCACTGTGGCCCATCTCAGGCTGCCAGTGTCCTGTTGAATCAGCTCTCCCCAGCCAGTATGAATGAGCCTGTGTCAGCAACCCATGTTATAAGTTAAAATCACGTCCTGGGGTGCCTGGGTGGCTCAGTCTGTTGAGCGTCCGACTTCGGCTCGGGTCATGATCTCGTGGTTTGTGAGCTCGAGCCCCACGTCGGGCTCTGTGCTGACAGCTCGGAGCCTGGAGCCTGCTTCAGATTCTGGGTCTCCCTCTCTCTCTGCCCCTAACCCGCTCGCATGCTGTCTCTGTCTCTCTCAGAAATAAACAAACATTAAAAAAATAGAAAATAAAAATAAATAAAATCATGTCCTTTTTTTGGATCATAAAATCAACACATTACTGAAAATTCACAAAACATAATTAATAAAGAAAAACAATTAAGATGATCCAGAATCCAAGAGCCCCCTGCTTCGATTAGAGACAGCCACTGTTGCCATCCTGATAGGAGTCCTAACAGTCTCCACTCTCTGGGCAGGTACATATACTAGATATGCATTTCTTCAGAATGCAAAAGCAACACATATGTATAGCAGAAAAGCCTCAGCTATCTCACCTTTCATGGAGAATTTGAGAGACTATATCTCCAGCCATTTTGTCTCCTCTGCATTTTTTAACATGGTTGGACTCATAGCTTGAGTCTCGTAGTTTGTAGGCATGATGAAGGCACTTTGCCATGCCCCATAGGAAGGGCATCTCCAGGAGAAGGATGTTATCCCTGATAATTCCTTAAAAAGGATTAAAGAGGTGGGGCGCCTGAGTGGCTCAGTCCATTAAGCATCCAACTCTTGATTTCAGCTCAGGGCATGATCTCATGGTTCCTGAGTTCGAGCCCCACCTTGGGCTCTGTGCTGACAGTGCAGAGCCTGCTTGAGATTCTCTCTCCCCTCTCTCTCTGCCTCTGCCCCGCTCACTCTCTCGCTCTCTCTCCCCCAAAATAAATAAATAAACTTAAAATTTGTTTAAGGATTAAAGAGGCAGAAAATCATACTCTGGTTCTTTGGCATGGAAAATGGCCAGTAGGAGGAAGTGCAGATTATCTGAGGTTGTGGGGAACCCTGGGTAATTCCAGATGCTTGCTTGGCCCCCTGTCCCATCTCCCCTGCTCATCTGATGCTCCAGCAAAGTATAAGAACAGGAGCACCTTTGGGGAGAGAATTAGCAGGAAAATACGGCTCTTGCTTAAGCCTAAAAGCTAGTTCATTCATTCATTCCTGCAACAGACATTTTCTGAGCACTCCCTCCGTGGCCGGTATGTGCTCAGGGCACAAGGTACAGCTATGAAGGAGATCTGGTGCCTGCCAGCTACTTCCAGGCTAATCGTGGAGCTGGGCGCTGCGACCACATCTCAAGTTAGGAGAAGTCAGAACAGGGATATTAAATGAGACAACAAATGCACAAGCCCAGGGGAAATGCCAGGGCTGTGCTCAGTGATGGCCGCTGCCTGCCGTCCAGCAGAGAAAAGTATCCCAGGTAGGGGAACCTACTGGGGCGAAGGCCCAGAGGACAAAGCATTAGCTAACAGTTGCCTCTTTCTCTCTCCTCCTCCTCCAGATCCCACACCCTGTGGACCCACAGGCTGGTTTTTCTGGTTTGCTCCCCCCAGGGCAATTTGCATATTTCTCCAAGAACCTTCAGGAAGCTGAGCAGCCTGTTTCCAGACTTGGAGAGAGGAGAGGCCAGGGGAAGCCAGCAACTGTTTTCTGAAATCTGGGTACGTGTTATTTAAGGTTTCTTTTTCCTCAAACCCTCACCATTATTTAAAATTGTCTTATTGTAAATATGAGTTTACTTACTGTCTGTCTCCTTCCCTGGAATATGCCTCCATGGTGGAGGGCTGTTGTCTGTCTGTCTTGTCTTAGTCTCCGCTGTTTTACGTAGCGTGTAGGATGATGCCTTCCACGTAATAGGTGCCGATATGTATTTATTAAATTAATTGCTTCTGGGGCGCCTGGGTGGCGCAGTCGATTAAGCGTCCGACTTCAGCCAGGTCACGATCTCGCGGTCCGTGAGTTCGAGCCCCGCGTCAGGCTCTGGGCTGATGGCTGAGAGCCTGGAGCCTGTTTCCGATTCTGTGTCTCCCTCTCTCTCTGCCCCTCCCCCGTTCATGCTCTGTCTCTCTCTGTCCCAAAAATAAATAAAAACGTTGAAAAAAAAATTTTTTTAAATAAATAAATAAATAAATAAATTGCTTCTTGACCTTTTGGCCAAGATCAAACGTATATTTATTAAATGAACTAGTTTTGGGTGCCTGGGTGGCTCATTTGGTTAAGCATCTGACTCTTAATTTCAGCTCAGGTCATGATCTCACGGTTCATGGGTTCAAGCCCTGTATCAGGCTCTGTACTGACATTGCGGAGTCTGCTTGGGATTCTCTCTCTCTCCCTCTGTCTCTGCCATTCTCTCTCTCTCTCTCTCTCACACACACACACACACACACACACACAAAAGTAAATAAATAAAAGAATGAACTAGTTAATTTGGGGTAAGGTGAACATTTGGTTTTAATTTACTTGGAACTTAAGGTTTTTGCCACGCTATAGAGACATCCCGCTGCTTTTTAAAAAGTTCTTTATCTTAAAATAATTATACTCTCACAGGCAAAATATTAGTACCAAGACATCCACCCGTACCCTAACTCAGCTCCCCGCCCCCACGGCCACTGCCTTCACAATCAAGTCTGACCCAGCATCTTTTTGGTTCTTCAAAAGCATCTTCCCTCTGGGGGCGCCTGGGTGGCTCAGTCGGTAAGCATCCGACTTCAGCTCAGGTCATGATCTTGCGGTTCATGAGTTCGAGCCCCTCATCGGGCTCTGTGCAGACAGCTCAGAGCCTGGAGCCTGCTTCTGTCTCTGTGTCTCCCTCTCTCTCTGCTGCTCCCCCACTCACACTCTGTCTCTCTCTCTCTCAAAAAATAAATAAACATTAAAAGAAAAAAAAATTTAAAAGCATCTTCTCTCTTGTACCTCTGGGCCTTGACATGGGCTGTCCCCTGTGCCCAGAACATGCTCTTGCTGTCGACCTCACCCCTGTCTGACCGCTACCTTCTCTCGGAAGCCGGTTCTGGGTGGCAGGCCCCTGTTTGTATCCCTCCACCCGTGTTGCCCTTATGTTTATCCTGCTGATTTGTCATCGTCTTTTTACTCGTCTGTCTCTACCACCGCACGGCTTCCTCTACGGAATACCCTCTCCTGTCCACCCGCCGGGCTGTCGCCCTTGCTTCCTGCAGGCCTCCGCTAGAGCGGTCCCTTTCAACTGCACACCGTCGTCACCCCCTCCTGCCACATCGCTTCACATCCCCCTCATCCGAATGCTTCTTCCCCGATGATCCCTTCATGGATCCGACCGTCAGACCTGACTGTGACTCTGGTTCTGCTACTTACCAGCCACATGATCTTGGGCAAGTTACTTAGATTATTATTATATATTGCTGGATTGCTGCCTGTGTCCCACCAGAACGCAAGCAGGGAATTTGTCAGTTTGTCACCTGATCTGTCCCAAGGCCCAGACCAGGGTGTCACACATCACGTTCCCTTCTTCATTCACCCAGCACATATTTATCAAATGCCTGCAATATTCCACAGCCTGTTCAGAGAGCTAGAAGCATGGCAGTAAAAAAAGAAACAAAAAACAAAAAACAAAACAACCAGGGGCCTCCCTCAAGCTTATGTTCTGTTGGTATACATGGGTAAATAAATAATTTGCATGTATATTATTGAAGATGGGAGTAAGTATAAAACTAGAACAGGGTGCTAGGGTAGAAGGGCAGGAGTACTTGAGCCCGAGAGGTCAGGGAGGGCCTCTCAGAGGAGGTGACATTCAGGCTGAGGCAGAAGGATGTGAAGGTCAGAGGAAGAGTGTCCCAGGCAGGGGAACGGCAGGTGTAAAGGCCTGGAGGGGGGACCGGCTTGCATATTTGCAAGCACATCAATGGCCAGCCAATGTGGCCGTAGGGTAGTGAGCAGGCCGGGTTGGGGGGCGTGAGATGAGTCCAGGGCCAGGCAAGGGCCATCCTAAGGGGATTAGTGTGCGTCCTGGTGTGAGGGGACGCCTTTGGAGACTTTTAAGCGGGCAAGTGACATGATTGGTATATATGACAAAAGGGCCACTACAGCTGCTGGGTAGAGAAGGGATTATAGGACATCAAGAGTGTATCTTGTTGAATGAATGAGGCAGTTTGACCTGATCTGAGCTTTTTTGTGCCCCAAGCTCATCCCCTCTCCCCTGTGGATAGAGACAGGCCAGCTCGTGCTTCTCTGACTGGAAGGCTATTTATTCTTGAACTGAGAACTAACATGGGGCCCTCCAAGTACCAGCCCGATAAAATACCATCTTGGGCTCTTCTGGGTGAGAGGCACAATTACCACGGCCTCTGAATGGAGTGGATTAAATCACTAAGCCTGCCACATCATGGCTGGGTGCTGCCCCTACCCCTTCGTTTGTAACTTGTCCCCTTTGTCCACCATGGTCTGGGCTGATCCTGTGAGCCAGGGAGATCTGCTGCGAACCTCAAACTTGGGTTTCTGGAGCAACCATTGGAGGCCAGTCTTGCTGGGTGACACTGGCCACGGTCTTAACCTCTCTGGGCCTCGGTTCCTTCATCTGAAACAAGGGAAGAAGGATCCCTGTGCATACATAGAGGAAAGAACCCAGGGTTTGGAGCCGGAAGTCTGGTGTGACTTTCATTACTTAGTTACTGTGTAATTTTGGGAAAAGCCCTTGGCCTCTCTGAGCCTGTTTCTCAGCTACAGGAGGGAATCCTAATAGCTCATGTCCTTCTTAACCGTACGTAGTAGTTGTGAGATTTAAGTGCATTGTAAAGTGCTTTGCAAACTGTTATGTTTCTACACAAGTTGACTTGTTGCTTCAGGATTACTTTGAAAAACTAATGAAATATTTAGTTTCACAGACTTTAATATTGCACGGACTTTTAATAACTCCTCTGTAGAGGTAATATTTTGAGGATAAAATTGTTTTTTAAGTTCATTTATTTATTTTGAGAGAGAGCGCGCACACACAAATGGGGAAGGGGCAGAGAAAGAGGGAGAGAGAGAGCAGAGCCCAAGGTGGGTCTTGAACTTACGAACCGCGAGATCATGACCTGAGCCGAAGTCGGACACTTAACCGACTAAGCCACTCAGGCACCCCTGAGGATAAACATTTTTATTGCTCAGCTGGAGAAGAATGCATTTATGGGCCAAAAGCAGTGCTGAGTGTGGGTATGAGACTTGATATCTCTTGGCAGTTGTGATGAGTATTTAAACAGAGGTAGTGGCCAAGAGCTCTGGCTTTGGGCTCCAGTCTGCAATTTACTGGCTGGGTGACCCGGACTCATTTACTTCTCCTCTGAGCCTGGACATTATGGTGATGCCTGGGCTCATAGAGTTAGCCAAGACTGAACATATTAACGTTGCAGCCCCAGGGCCTGGCCCCCAGCAACAGGCACGTGATGTTAGCTCTTGTCGTTATCTATACACCTTGCTGTGTGCTGAGCATTTCAGTGATTTCTTTGTTGACTTTTTAAATGCATTTATTTTCTTAACAGACATCTATGTGGCACGGGCCCTTTGGCAGGCTTTGTGCTAAGTGCTTTACAAATACTAACCTACATGGCTATGTCATTTACTGCTAACCCAGTTCCTCCAGGCAGATAATGTTATAGTCCCATCAGCAGGTGAAGAAATGTGAGTGCAGAGAGGTTGAGCTGCCCAGGGCTCCGTATCTATCAGATGGAGGTGCTTGGATTCGTGCCCAGGTTTGTCTGGTTCTGAGCCTGCATTCATATCCACAGTGCCCTGTGGTCGAGGCGGGTTCCCTTCCTGGTATCCACTCCCAGGACCCCTCCTGCCCCTTGAATGCCTGGCTTGGCTTGGTTTGTTCCCTCCCCTGCCTTCTCTGCTTCACCTTCTGCCCCTGGGAAGGAAGGAAAGAATAAAAGGAGGGGAGAAAGGAGACCTCCTCCCCTCCCTTCTTTCCTTCCTTTCATTAAAGCATAACATACACAGAGTGCACAAATCTTAAGCATACAGCTTGATAAGTTTTTAAACGTATTTATACACATGTAATCAGCACTGGGTGATAGAGAAGATTTCCATCACCCAGAAGCCTCACTGTGCCCCTTCTGAGCCAATACTTATGGCTTGCCATGGGCAACCTCTCTTCTGTCTTCTTTTACCTTAGACTGGGAAGGTATGGAATGAACTCAGTTCCGCAGATAAGTGTATCTGTTTATCATTGTGTCTGTGAGGCTCACTCCTATTGTTGTGGTTAGCCAGGCTTCATTCTTTTTCATTGTTTTGTAATATTCCATGCTACAAATATGGCAAAGTTACCCATTCCGCTGTGGACAAACATGTGGCTTGCTTCCAGCTTGCAACTATTCTGAATGAAGCTTCTGTGAGCATTCATGTACATGCCCCGTGGTGGACAAAAGCCCTCATTTCTCAGGAGTAGAATTGCTGGGGTACAGAATTGCGTATAAAACACGTTTAGCTTTAATGATAAAGTCAAACCAGTTTCCAGAAGGTTGTACCATGAATACTCTCATCAGCCGTGTGTCCAAGTTCCGTGTCTCCCTTATCCTCACCAACACTTAGGATTGTCAGGCTTTTAATTTTGGCCATTCTGATGAGTAAGTAGCAGTGTCTTGGAGTTTTAATTTTATTTCTCTGATGACTAATGGTGTTGAACACCTCTTCATGTACTTATTGGCCATTGGATATCTTTTTATGAAGTGCCTGTTCAAGTCTTTTGCCAGTTTTTAAATTTGCCTCATTTCTATTTCACCATGACTTATAAGAATCGTTTATATACTATGGATACAAATCCTTTGTTGATACACATACTGAAAATATCTTCCCCCAGTCCATGGTGTGTGTTTTCACTCTCTCGAAGATGATGAAGGCCTATTTATCAGTCTTTTCTTTCATGATTGGTAGTTATGTGTCCATTTAAGTAACTTTGGCCTAACCCCTCACCCCCGTTTGCGTTTTTCACTGAGATTTTTTTTTTTTTCCTGCAGGGCTGGAAATGGCCACGTGCAACAGTTCAAGTGAGGGGCTGCCTCCGGTGGCCGAGCCAGCCGTGGAGGGGGAGCCTCATCTGCCCGTGGGCCGGGAGCTGGCTGAGGCCAACCGCTTTGCCTATGCCGCCCTCTGTGGCATCTCCCTGTCCCAGCTATTTCCAGAACCTGAGCAAAGGTGAGTGCCTTTGTCCTTACAGAGGAAATGTCATGCTTCCTTGGGGAGGCAGTTACTGACAGCCAAGCCACCTGCCGGGTATTACTGGCAAAGAGGAGAAAGTCATTGCCCTTGCCTTGAAGGAGCTCACAGTCTAGAGGATTAGATAGCCTTCCTTCAGTACTCACTCATTCATACCTTCACCAGGCATTTTCTGGGCACCTACTTTGTGCCAGGCATGATTTGGAGTACATGGAAGGAATACGCAAATGAGATGGACAAGGCCAATGCTGTCCCTGCCCATAAACGGGACACAGCCTAATGGAGAAAAGATGCTTATTCATGCATGCAGTATGCCTTCGTTGAGCACCTACTCTGTGCTGGGTGTCGTGCTAGGCCCTGTGGAGAAAACAAGCAAGGCCTGGCTCCTATCCTCTAGGGGCTTATGGTCTGGGATGGGGGAAGGCACCCAATAACTGACTACCATTATACTAGACAGATGGGGTAAGTGCCCGGGTGAGTTCAAACCAGGTGTCATAGGAACAAAAGATTGATGGGTTTAATGACAACATTAGTATCTGTTGTTGCTGGCATCTAGGACAGATGTGTTTCAATCACACATTTGGAGTCAGAATAGCAGAGCTGTGAAAAGCCTCCAAGCCTTTGAGGGTTCTTGGGGAAGAGAGTTTAGAGGCAAGACGAGGGGGCGTAGGGAGGCAGACGGAGTGGTCCAGGGCCTGGAGCCTGCTTTGGATTCTGGTTCTCCCCAGGGCTGTGACCCGGGGGGGGGCGGGGGGGGGGGGGGGGCCGCACAGGTAAGACTTTCCTTGGGGAGAATGGAGTTGACTCAGGGACAGGTTGGATGCTGTGGATGGGGCAGGGGGAGGAGCTGTCTATGGCCCCAAAGTTCGAGGTGGAGGGTGGGGCTAGACGGACAGAAATACCATCACCGAGAGTGGAAGCGACAGATGAGGGCAGGAAATGACAGGAGATTTTTTGCATCTATAGAATTTTCAGGACTTCCTCCCCAAAGGTCCCCCGTGAGTAAACTTCCCCATGCTTTAGGTCTTAGCTGGGTTTTTATTTGTTTTGTTTGTTTTTTATCTTCATCCGTCCCACTGAATACTTGAGCACAGCCCTCTACTTGGGGGGCACCTCTGGGACCCTCCCACACCCTAGACCAGGGTGTTTCTCCAGCCACATGTTCAGCGACCCAGCCCTGCGACCACCACGCTCTTCCCATACCCACCACCCCTCCAGTTTGGGCTCTTGGAGGGCGGGGGCTGCCCGGTTCACCTGTAAGTCCCCAGAGCCTCCCGTACAGCTTGGTGTAGCTGACAAGCCAGTACATAGTGGGTAGAACTTTGTGTACTTTGTTCACATCAGCAGATGTTCATGGGGCGCCCGGGTGGCTCAGTCAGTTAAGCATCCAACTTTGGCTTAGATCAGGATCTCTCAGTTCGTGAGTTCAAGCCCCGTATCGGGCTCTGTGCTGGCAGCTCGGAGCCTGGAGCCTGCTTCGGACTCTGTGTCTCCTCTCTCTGCCCCTCTCCTGCTCGTGCTCTGTCTCTTTCTCTCTCAAAAATAAATAAACACTTAAAAGAAAAAGTTAGGAGCGCCTAGGTGGTTCAGTCGACTGAGCATCCGACTTCGGCTCAGGTCATGATCTCATGGTTCGTGGGCTCAAGCCCCACATTGGGCTCTGTGCTGACCACTCAGAGCCTGGAGCCTGATTCCGATTCTGTCTCCTTCTCTCTTTGCCCCTCCCCTGCTTATACTCTGTCTCTCTCTCTCTCAAAAATGAATAAACATTAAAAAAAATTTTTAATAAAAAAATAAAATAATGTTTAAAATTTTTTAAAAATTAAAAAAATTTTTAATTAAAAAGACATTTGTTTTAAAATTTTTACAAACCCCACAAATGTTCATGAGCCTGCACTGTGTGCCAGGCCTGTGCTGGGCCCCCCCTAGGATGGCACATGGAGAAGTGAGTTATCCTGTGTGCCCCCAGCCCCCCAAACACACACACATCCAGGTACCACTTTAAGCACACATGCTCTTGCCTGGCCAGAAGCACTTGCCCTGGGGTATTTCCTTTCTGAAAGTTTACGATCCAGTCGTCAGTTCATTCCACGAGATCTCTGTTTTCTTAGGCCTAAAACACATTTCATTTTATTTTTTTTTATTTTTTTTTAACATTTTCTTTATTTTTGAGACTGGGAGAGACAGAGCATGAACGGGGGAGGGTCAGAGAGAGAGGGAGACACAGACTGAAACACGCTCCAGGCTCTGAGCTGTCAGCACAGAGCCCGACGCGGGGCTCGAACTCACGGACCGTGAGATCATGACCTGAGCCGAAGTCGGACGCTTAACCGACTGAGCCACCCAGGCGCCCCTAAAACACATTTTAAAAATGACTTCAGTCATTTTACAACCCAGATATACTTGTTGATTTCAGTAATCTTTTTCCTTTTAATTTTATTTATTTATTTTGAGAGAGAGAGAGAGAGAGAGAGAGAGAGAGCACCCAAGCAGGTGAGGGGCAGACAGAGGAGAGACAGAATCTCAGGCAGGCTCTGAGCCATCAGCACAGAGCCCCACTCGGGGCTTGAGCTCAGGAATCATGAGATCATGACTTGAGCCGAGATCAAAAGTCAGGTGCCCAACCAACTGAGCCACCCGAGGTGCCCCAGTTTCAGTAATCTTTAGAAAAACACTCTGGATTTTTTTGTCACGTGGGACATAAAAGCAAGCCTTTTTAATGTATTTATTATCTGAGCCATAAACATCACAGATAATATTCCCTAAAATTAACTCTGTTTATTAAGCATGGAGAAATTAATGGGGTAGAGTAGGGAACTACAAACGTTTTCTGTAGAGGACCAGGTATTTTGGCTTGCGAGCCACGTAGCTGCTGTGGCCGTCACTCAATTTTGCTGCCATAGCCTGGTAGGAGCCAGGAACAACATGTAAAGGATAAGTGTGGCTGTGTTCCAGTAAAACTTCATTTACAAGAGCAGGGCCAGCTTTGGCCCACGTGGGTAGTTTGCCGGCCCCTGGTGCTGGAGCTTTGGACTCATCGTGAGAAACGCTGGATTCTTGTTGAGGCTTTGTCTCGATATGGCATTGAACCTCTGCAGCCCACGTGCTCCATCCGTGGGGAAGGGGGGGAGGGGGTGGTGCAGGATGCAAGAGGACGTTTGATGCACCTGCCCAGCCAGTGCCCAGAGCTTGGTGAGTGCCCGGGAATATAATCCCTGGAGAGGGGCAGTCTCTGCGGTGGTTAAACACGGCCCCTGGTGTCATGGAGATGGGGGGTTTGAACCCTAGAGCTGTCATGTCACCTCTCTGGGTCTAGGTTTCCTGATCTCTGGACTGGAGTAAAAATAACACGTCCGTCCCTGGAAGGGGTATGGCGAGAAGTAAATGAGTCGGTGTGTAGAAGGTGCTTACCTAGCGCAGGGACTGACAGATAGTTGCTCTGTGATTGTCTTTTGTGATCACGGTTGCTGCTGATATCACACATTTCGATAAACCAACAACCACATTAGAAGCGGTTACCAAAACCCCGCTGATCTAAACGCTGTTTGTTGTTTAATCAATGGCTGTGCTGCCGCTTTACGACCATATTTATTCATTTGTTCCTTTAAAGAAACACACGCATAGCGCTTTATACAGGCCAGCTCTTGTTCTGAGCACAAGGCCAAATGTTAACTTACTTAATCCGGCCGGCCACCCTGTGAAATGGGTTTCGTCATTATCGCCACCATTCTATAGACCAAGAAACTGAGGCACACGGAGGTTGAGTAACTGGTCCAAGATGACACAGCCAGTGACAGAGCTGAGATTTGAACCAGAGGCTGTGCTCTCTACGCCTCCACTCTTATTAGGAGATGCTTGTCTATATCCAAGACTTTCTTGTTGGACACAGGGCCAGGCCCTGCTTAGTTTACTCCGAAGGAATGTTTAGTTCACTATGTCGTTTCCTGCCTCCATACACACCCATGTAACCACCCCCGGGGTTATCCCAGTAGATTGCAGTGGGGTAAATTGTAATTGTAGTAGCAATAGCTAGCATTTATTGAAGGGTTATCAGGTGCCAGGCCCTATTACGATGTCACTTAATCTTTCTATCCAATCTCTGAGGCACATCCGCATTTTATAGCAGAGGAAAATGAAGCTAAGAGAAGTGAAGTAAGGACATGAACCCAGCCGCTGAGGGAGCCAGGACTCCCCGGGCACCGGACTTCAGAGCCTGACTCTGAAACCTATTCTCCGCTGCCTTCCTTGGCCACATTATAACCAAAGCAGTGAGGCCAGCTGACATGACTTGAGGATCTCCTACATTCCAGGCCCTGCTCTGGATGCTTCGTATGTATCATCTCATTGAGTCCTCAAACAACTTAATGAAGTTGGTCTCAGGGCGCCTGGATGGCTCAGTCGGTTGAGCGTCCGACTTCGGCTCAAGTCATGATCTCTCAGTCCATGAGTTCAAGCCCCCCGTCAGGCTCCGTGCTGACAGCTCAGAGCCTGGAGCCTGCTTTGGATTCTGGGTCTCCCTCTCTCTCTGCCCCTCCCCCACACACTCTCTCTCTCTCTCTCTCTCTCTCTCTCTCTCTCACACACACACACACACACACAAAATAAATAAACATTAAACACATTTGAAGTTGGTCTCTTAAGCCCATTTGCAGATAGGGAAACTGGGGCAAGAGGAGGTCAGTTTACTTGGCACGGTGCCACATTACCCAGATGTCCCTTCGGGAATGGCCTCCTCTCGCCACTGCTGAGACAGGGCTGCCCGCACGGCCGGGGCTGCCTCGGCTGAGGAGAGCCATCTTGCCCATGCTTCTGCCCCCTTCCTGGGCAGCCCTCTTCCAGTGATGGCCTGATGGGGCGGGCGTGGAAAGGCCCCACTGGGGGCAGCCCTGAAGGGTCTCCTATCTCCCTGCAGGGTTGGCTGAGGCTTCTGGTGAGGCTGCAGTGCAGCTCGGCCTGGCGATCAGTCTTGCTTCCTGGAGACTGAACCATAACACTGTCAGGCCAGGGTTGTAGCTGGCCTGCAGAGACCTCTCCACTGGGCTTGGGCACTGGCGGCTCTAGGGAGGGGGTGGGTGGGCTGCCTGGGATCTGTGGGGGCCCCCCCCCGAGGTTGCCCACACCACCAGGGAGCTCAATTTGTTTTGGGGAGACCTGATTCCACCCTGGCCCCATCAGAACCCAGGGTGCAGAAGCCAGCATGAGGAGCCCCAGGGTAGTGTGGTCGAGGCAGGCTGGGACGTGGGTTTGCAGAGAGACCTGGCCTCGAGGCCTCAGCCTTTTTTTTCTGGACTGGTGGACTCACCTCCTAATTGACCCCCTGCTCCGGGGGCCCCCCATCCCCCCACCTAGTTCACCACGGTCACTGCGAGGAAAGTTGGTGGCTTTGAAGCAAAGCCTGATGTGGACTCTGTCCCAGTCTCCCAAACGCTGTGTGCCTCCCACAGCTCAGGGGTCCCTTTCCTCCTGGAGTCCTCCAGGGGCCCATCACCTGCCCAGGGACTCCTGTGGGACTAAAGCAAACGACGGCCATGGGCACCGTGGGGGGAAAGACCCTTCCTGTGCGCTTACCTGCTCCTGCAGTGGCCGACTTCTTTCCTGAAAGCATGTCCTCGGTGACTTCCGACAGCAGCAAATCAAATCACCTGTAGGATGCCTTTTCTAGCAGCTTCTAGCAGCTGCCCCTCACCTCTGCAGGTGGGTCTGGGCACTGCCTCTCTGGACACACGGGGCTCCATTCCTGCCTCTGGCCTGGCCTGTGGCAGGGCACGAGGGTGTGTGAGTCACGTACGTGTCCGTGAGCTTCTCCCCTGAGGCGGGGTTGCCTTGTTCCTCTGATTCCTCAATCCCCCGGCACAGGCCGGGCGCAGGGCACCGGTCAGTAACTGCTCATTACCCTCCTTCCTGTGGCTCATCAGCTGCTTTGGTGAAAGTTCTGGTGGGGGAAGAAGCTAAGATCCACATCCTGAAATTAAGTTTCTGGCTCTCTGTCTCCTTCCGTGGGTCACGGTCACCATGGTTTTTGTACAAGCTGGCTATTACACCCATGAACGCATCTCACCCGAACTTCCCAGTGGCCTCATGAGACGTGTTCCGGGAGCCCTGGGATCTAAGCCATGTCTGTCTTACAGCTCCTTCTGCACGGAGTTTGTGGCGGGCCTGGTGAAGTGGCTGGAGTTGCCTGGAGCCGTCTTGCCAACCATGACCGCTTTTGCCAATGGCCTGGGAGGCGAAGGAGCAGACGTGTTTGCTGCCATTTTATTGAAGGACCCCATCTTGAAGGACGACCCATTGGTGATCATTCAGGTACACCCACCATCCGGGCGGTGCAGCTGGCTGCTGGGGAAAGAAATGATTTCCTTTCAGAGTCAGCCTAGACATCGCTTCTAGTGGGGTGGGGTCATTGAAAGCTAAAACAGTTCGTCGTAATATCACAGGATGATGATCAGAGCTAATAGTAAGTTACCATTACTGAATATTTACCATGGCCTTAATTTAATACGTAAACAGTGCTTTATTATGTGCTAGCCCCTTACAAATATTAGTCCATTTAATTCTGCAAGCCACTTTATGAGTTAGATTGCATGATCATCCCCATTTTATAAATGGGAAAACTGAGGCCCCGAGAGGTTAAGTAACTTGTTCAGGGTCATGCAGCTTGACAGGTGGCTCAGCCGGGACTTGAACCTTGGCAGTCTGACCCCAGAGTCCGGGCTCCTGAGTGCTAAGCTGTGGTGCCTCTTTTTGGAAGCAGGAGCTCTGCTCTGTGCCCTTGGGTGCGTGACTCAACCTGCTCAGGGTGCAGTTACAGCAGGCAGCTTATGACGCGGGCTGTTGTCGAATCAGTGGGTTTCCCTCCTTGAAAGTCTTACCCATTTCTTTCTTTATTTTCCTACCTGTGTGGCTGGCTCACCACTAGAACACAGGGCAGAGATATTTTGTCGGTCTCGTTCCCCCACTTGGTAAAAGTCAGTAAGTGCTGTTCAAACAAGCAGGCTAGTTACATATCGAACGTATCGCTAATTCCTGTCCCCTTTTCCCCCAGGACCTTCTGAGCTTCTCCCTCCAGGATGGTGAGTTGATTTTCTAAGTTCTGTATATTTGGGGTGCTCATCTCCACCCTTGGCCAGGAAAGCCAGTGACAGGTGTTGCGACCTGTGGACCTACCCCCCTGCCCCCACCATGGTCTTTTGGTGCAGGGGAGGAGAGGGACCCTTGTGTAATGGGGGAGCCAGTAAGCACTTCGTTTGTGCCAGACATTGTGGGTGCTCGATAGTTATTTCTCAAGGCCCCATAGTTTTACCTCCTAAGTAGCTCTTGGGTCTGGTTCCTTCGCTGTCTCCACCTGCCATCTCAGCCCCAGCCACCATTGCCCCTTCCTGGCATCCTCACTGGTCTTCCTGCCTCCATTCCAGTCAGCACTTTGTTCTCACGCTGCAACTCAGTGATCTTTCCAGATGCACGTGGGACCACGCGCGGCTCCCACTGCCCTCAGGAGCGTGGCCCCCAGCCTACCCCGCCTCATCTCTCAGCACACCTGTCCCCCCTCTCCACAGCGGCCTCCCCAAGCGCCTGTGCTTCCTGCACCGTGGACTTTGCACATGTCCTTCCCTGCTCCTCTTATCCGGTTACTCCTACCTTGCCCTCAACCCTCCACTCAGGCATCTATTCCCTGGGGAAGCCTCTGCCCCCCACCCCCTCACCCCCACCCCCCGTCTGGGATGCTCCTCCCAGCACCACGTGGCCACAGCTGCAGTTGAATGGTTACGTGATTCTTTGCAGACTTCTCCTCCGGACCATAAGTGCCAGGCAGGCAGAACCACATCTGGTTTCCTTCACCACGTATTTCTAGTACCTAACATAGCACCTGGAACATAGTATATGCTCAGTAGCTATCTGTTGAATGAATTAATGAGATAGATCTTACTGCCCCGTTTTGTGGATGAGGAAGTCGGCTCAGAGAGGTTAAGTGATTTACCCAAAGCTGCACAGCAAGAGGCAGTGTGGGATTCTACCTGCTTTCTTTCCTGGGGCTGTCATGACAAATTACTGTAAACTGGGCAGCTTGAAGCTGCAGAAATGTATTCTCGCACAGCTCTGGAGGCCCGAATTCTGAAAGCAAGGTGTCAGGCAGGGTCTTGTTCCCTCTGAAGGCTGTTGGGGAGACTCCTTCTTGCCTCTTTCAGATTCTGCTAGCTCCCAGTGTTCCTCCGCCTGTGGCCATATCTCTCTGGTCTCTGCCTTCATTGTCCCGTGGCTTTCTCGTCCCTTTGCTCTCCTCTCCTCGCCTCCTGTAAGGACATTGTACAGGGTGTCCTCATCTGGAGATCTTTAACATAATTATATCTGCAAAGATCCTTTTTCCAAATAAGGTCACGTCCCCAGGTGTCAGGGCGTGGATGTATCTTTTGGGGTCACCATTCAACCCCCTGCAGCACCCCAGGGTGCTCTCCATCAAACGCCTGGGCTGCCTCGTGAGCAGCCCCCTGCCCCCGTAGCTCCGCATCAGATTCTCCCCACCACCTCCTCTCTGCCCGGGCTCCCCTGTTACTGTGTGTGCGGCTTCTTCTGTTCCCTGAGCTGGCGAGGGGTTTTGGCACAAAGACCTCCGATGTTTATTCTGACGGCAAGCAGGGAGGAGGAACAGAGGATGACCTGTGAAATCCCAACAACCTCCAGACCGTCACATGGGGCAAAATTTTGCTGGAAAAATTACAGAAAATTACATTAAAAAGGTACCTAGGGAAAGTGGCACCAACTTCCCGTTGGAGCCCTGGCTCGTGGGGAGTGGAGGGTGGGAGGAGGAAGAAGAATGGAATCACGAGAACAGCATGTGCAGGAACACGGGAGGAAAGAGCACACGGGAGAAGGTCACTGGGGGCAGGAGCCCAGCGGGCAGGGCTTTGAGCCACCTTGGCGGCTGAGCTGGGGAAGACAGCAGGGTGCGTTTCTCCTGGGCAGACTTGAGGAGGCGTCCCCACCGGCCAGGCGTGAGGAAACGTGGCCTCAGCGAGGGCAGCCGAGATTCTGGGGTGAAGGGCTGCCCCAGGAGTCATTCTGATGGAGAGGCAGCAGAATGGCTGACGGACCAGACAGAGGGAATGCAGGAGAGCGACCAGGAGTGACGATGCCGGTTGCCTGCGTGTTCGGATCCAGCTGGGGAATCCTGGTGTGTGTCTTAAGTGACGCTTTCAGGCACAGTGGCGGTCAGGGACCCTAAGAGAGTAGGGAGCCTCCACAAGCCCGACGCGACAGGTCACAGAAGCTGGTTTCTCACACACGCTTGCAACTAAAGCTTTGTTCAGCGCGAGGTCCGTGGGGATGGCAGAGCACAGAGGTCACCCTACCTTGGGGCTTCTTATTAGGAGACGAATACATTTTTCTTTCGTATTTTTTTTTAAAAAGAAAGAGCCTTAAGTCCCTGCTCTTCACAGTGTGGTCCGTGGACCAGCAGCGTCAGCATCCGGGAACTTAGGTGGAAGGCCACCCTCGGGCACCACCCAGGCCTACTGAACCAGAATCTGTGCATTGACAGGATCCCAGGGGGTTCCTTTATAGTCTGAGAAGCGCAGCTCTAAGGCTCAAAACCCAGAGTATATTTTTTGGTCCTCCTGTATCCAGACAAAATATTTTCACTCCATATCTCAGAGCCGAATGGGGCCCCAAGGGTGATTTGCTGAGCCCCTGGTCTCAGACACGTGTGGCATTAAGTAATACTCCTCTGTTTGCTGGCGAGGCTTGCCCCAGGAAGTGGCACAAGTGGTCTGAGAACGTTGCTCAGTCATATCACTGCTTTTGGGTTTTTGGTTTGTTTGTTTGTTTTTTTTAACAGAAGTAAGGGAGGGATAATGATGTCTGATTCTCCCGGATGCTCGCAAAGGAAAGGATTTGAGTTTGCACGGAGGTCTGAGACCCAAGTGGCTGGAGAGCACAGACACTCTCACGTTATAATCCTGTAATGACTAAGCCACCAGCCGAGCATTCACTGAGTGTCTACTGTTGCTGAGGGCTGTGCAGCACCCCTCCCCCCGGGTGGGGGTGGGGTGGGGCATGGTTGAGGCTGTTGCTTCCATTTTGTAGGTCTGAGACACATGGTCAAGGTCATCTTGGATGAGCCTCTCATTTTTCCAAGTGGAGAGATTAAGGCCCAGAGAGGGGAAGAGGCTTTCCCAGGAACACACAGCGCCAGAGGCAGACTAGGAGTCAGACCCAGGTCTCTGGCCTCCCGGACCAGCACTTTGTCCCACTGCCTTACCACTGGGTGGGAGGAGAAGCTGTCCCAGTGCTCCTGCGTTTGCCTCAGTTTCTCCCTTACCTGGAGAGCCGTGTTCATCCCACCCCGCTTCCTGCCCCCCACCTGCAAACCACAAACCCTCCCGAGCACCCCCGAGCAGTTAGGACACAACTTACCCCTTCTGCTATGGGTGACCTTGGCCACAAGGTCTTGTTCTTGCAGAACAGTTGGGGTGGGTTTAAAACTGCGTGTCTTATGTCACCACCCGGTACGTCCCAGGGGCGTTCTCTGAGCTGCATTGAGCCCAGCACTGCCTTTTATTTATTTATTTATTTATTTTAATTTTTTTTCAACGTTTTTATTTATTTTTGGGACAGAGAGAGACAGAGCATGAACGGGGGAGGGGCAGAGAGAGAGGGAGACACAGAATCGGAAACAGGCTCCAGGCTCCGAGCCACCAGCCCAGAGCCCGACGCGGGGCTCGAACTCACGGACCGCGAGATCGTGACCTGGCTGAAGTCGGACGCTTAACCGACTGCGCCACCCAGGCGCCCCCAGCACTGCCTTTTAGATTCTATTGACAGTAAGCACCACTTGGCACCTGGCCCTTGTCACACACTGTTGCGTTTCACCCTCACAGCCACCTTTACTGCAGGCACCCCGCCCACTTTACAGATGAGCAAACCTCAGCTCAGAGTAACTGAGTAACTGGCCTAAGCTGGTGAGTGACAGAGCTCGACTTTCTAAAACGAGTACTGCTAACCAAAACCTTAGCAGATTTTACCCCCAAGGGTTGGGATATCCAGAGGCGTCCCCACGGAATGTCATAGAACCCCGTATCTGAATAGCACGAGTCCCCGATCACATCGGGGGGCCTTTGGCTTATCTGATGGCCTCACCAAGTGCCTGCAGACATGAACAAGAGTAGCTTCAGCAACACACTGGGACCCAGTGGGGGCAGGTGCTGGGGTTTCAAAGGTCTACAGAGGTCAGAGGTGGGACCCTGAAACCATCTAGACCGCCATCTCATCATATAGATGGGGAAATGAGGCCCCGAGGTGGGACTGGCTTGCCAGTAGTTGTCACGGCTAACTCTTTATCCGTATTAATGAAGAACCAGGGACCAAGAAGTGGGGGCATTTCGGGAGTCAGCCTGCCTGGGTGTTAAAATTCAGGTTGTACTTTGGCAAGTAACTGAACGTCTCTGTGCCTCGGTTTCCTAAGGTGTCAAATGAGAATAAGAGTAGTCTTTACAAGGTGGTGGTAAGGATTCAGTGAGAAACACATGCCAAGTGCTGTGAACAGGGCTGGCCATGAGTGCCGCTCACATGTGGTGGGGGTTAGAGGTAAATGGCAAAGCCCTGGAAATCAGGAAAGCTGGATACTTACCCTGTCCCTGAGACGCCCTCGGTGTGTGACCTTGATCAAGCCACTTAGCCTCTCTGAACTGCAATATCAAATAAAAATAAGGGGCAACAGCCAGATGCTCCTTAAAAACAACAAACAAACAAACAAAAACTGTCTTTGGTTCTAAGAGCACAGTTAGGGATCTTGGAAGGAGAAGATCAGGGTCATTGTTGGCCCATTTTTTTAGGTACTTACTTCCTCCATAAACTCCACGAGGGCAGGGCCCTGGTCTGGCTTGTTCACCATTGCATCCCAACATCTACCATACTGATGGGCACATAGTAGGCATATAGTAATTATTAGATGGATAGATGGAAGGATGGATGGATAGAAGGATGGACAGAAGAATGGATGGATGGATGGATGGATGGATGGATGGATGGATGGATGGGAGGAAGAACAAGTGGACAGGTGGACAGAAGGGTGAATGGA